CTTGTCGACATGCGAGCGCCTACAAGACGCACGAAATGGTGATAGTTATAAGGTTTAGTAACAGATTGCTCGGTAACACAATATGTCAGTCAGTGATAGTTTTATTATTTGAAATTAATTTAAATTTGGTGTAGAATGAATTGATGACACTTGATTACAGTGTACATGAAAATAAATGATAACAAAATGCATTTTTATTTGGCTTGTAAACAAAAAGATGTCTAGCAATAAAACACAAAAAGTAGGGTGGATTCCATGTATATTTTTAATTTAATATATAGTGCGGTGCACATTGACTTTTTAAAGGCACATTATGCCACAGAAAAGATTTTTTTTTTACTTCTGAAGAAAGTAGCTCTAAATGTTCAATAAATTATTTGTCATAAAAGTAGCGAAATGTAAATTAAAAATTAATTTGACCTGTGCAAATAATAAATTTTCCTTTTTCTAAAAAACAACAATTTAAAAAGATTAGGTATTTTTTATTAAATTTTACTTAACAAGAATTAAAAAGGCTTTTAAAAAGAAATTAATTTTTTTAAGGTTTAATTTTTAAAACTTTTTTTGAATTATTAAAAAATTTAACAATATTTTAGGCAGCTAAAATTTAAAAAAATTTTTTTAAATAATTAAAAATTTAAATTTTTTTTAAAATTTAGCATGACATATAAAAAAAAATAACGTTTATGTTTACAAAATTGAACTGAATGTCTAAAACTTAATTACCATACACTAAGATATATCAAACTTGATACAGTGAAAAATTAATATCGAAATAAATAACACAATATTTTATGGAAAAACAGCTATGATAGATAGTGGTATTCTTAATAGCTGCCCCTCCCTCGTGGAGTCATACATACTTGGCCGAATTTTTCAACATTGTTTAAAAAAGTCCCATTATGTCCCCCCCCCCCCCCCCCCCTCCCCCCCCCCCCCCCAAAAAAAAAAAAAAAAAAAAAAAATATTTCGCATATATCACTAATCACTACTTTAAGGTAACATGCATCTAGCATTCTCTAAAACCATAATTTAAACATTATAAAACTCATGTTTGCCCTTTCTAAATAAAAATGTTACTTATTTCTGAGGCATAATGTGCCTTTAAGAAAAAATAGGGATATCAGATTTACACAGCTTAAAAAAACACTGAGTACAACATGCTTAAGGATTTTCTCTTCACGTCGGTCCTGATAAGGTTACATAGCGACTTTCCAATTTTTACTCGAAGAGAAAGACCCCAGGTGCCCCTTCGTGCCGAGCGGGCACCTGAGTAGAGCGACCAATATTCTGTAAGCTAGCAGCTGGTGTGGCTTATTGTCATCATTTGTATTTCTTTCTTTCTTTCTTTCTTTCTTTCTTTCTTTCTTTCTTTCTTTCTTTCTTTCTTTCTTTCTTTTTCTTTCTTTCTTTCTTTCTTTCTTTCTTTCTTTCTATTTATTTATTTATTTATTTATTTATTTATTTTTTTTATTTATTTATTTATTGTATTTATTTATTTATTTATTTATTTATTTATTATCATTTATTTATTTATTTATTTATTTATTGTCAATTTCAAAATAAACCCAATTAACTGTCAGTCATACGTTTAGATTTTTTACGAAATTAATTCGGTTTCTAACTTGTTTGGCGCCAACTGTCAGTGCTTGATTTTCAACTTTCTAACCTCCATTCGGAGAGTCACAAAGACATACAAAGCTACCGAAATTATTAGTTTCGGGTAAATACATTTACCAAATTGTACTGACATAACCAACAAAAAATTACAATGACAGAGGAATATCAAAAGTTTTCAGTACCTTCAAAACACCATGTCTGAGTTATTTATAAATCTAACGGGTCCATGAGTATGTCCCCTTCCCCCTTTTCTATAAACTACGGATAATGACTGATGATGATTAATCGGTGAGGTGTTCCGAATGAATTTACAATAGTATTTTGATAATTTGTTTGAATTTCCCTAGAAAAAGTTCACCAAATTTGACCAGATATTTACAGAAATTTTGTCCGCCTATATGTTTTCTTGCGAAATGTATTGCCACTTTTTACCATATTGTCGTAATGTAAAATAAACAAGTTATCTAAAGGGCATGTAATCCGAATTAAAATTAAATCTTTAAATCAAATACACATTGGAGACAGGTCCAGATTAAAAGAAAAACAATTTTAGAAATAAACTAATATGTTTAAAACTGTGAAAAACATTAGCGTTACAAAAGTATCATGGAGGACACGTTGTCTGGAGTGTCATGATAATCCAAGGAAAGATAATTCCACGTAAGGAAAAGATAATCCACGCAAGACTGATAATCCGTCTCGATTAATACATTAATCTAGGAAAGATCGTCGGCGAATAACGGTGTCATAACTTGACACATAACTGATATGTAACTTACATTACAGTGTGAATTTGTTACTATCTGTAATATGTTTACGTTACCGTTATGTATGTTATATTTTGATATGTCAATATGTACGCATTTCAAGAAGCATGCCTCAAAATTATTGCTTATTTTGGTAAAAAATTTGAAAATGTTTTTAAAAAAATAAAATATCGAGGAATCAACAATGAAAGTAGTTGCACATTGCAAACGACACTTAAAATCCACATAAATTGCCAAAAAATGGAGGTAAAAAATATGAAAAAACGTCCTTACTGCGTTAGACACACTGTGGAAATATATAAGATAAACACAGCGAAATCAGTTATTAATCGCACATTACATGTGAATAATAATTTGAATCTTGAATCCTTTTACTGTTCTTAAAATCTGAGTACATTTTTTCTCAAGTTTAATTTGCTTCAACTATTTTTGCTCATATGAAGGCATGCAGTTTTAAGGTCGTAATATTCAATCATACCATTAACGCATACCTTTATCTTTTACAAGAATTCTTTTCATATCTACGAAATTCTACATTATATTTATATTATAACCATAATATTCTAATGTAAACTCCTCAAATGCTAGCAGATTGATGAAGTTTTTGTGCTATCAGTATAAAAAGCAACATAGCCTGTACATTCACCCAATCTGATCAGACCCTACACTGTTGACCGGTATATTTTAAAATCTCTGACACCCACATTGAACAGTTCCGAGTTCAAAGCCCGAAAGCTTCTTTACTTTTGACATATTTTTTAGCTCGATAATGAAGAAAGCTTGATTATATCAGGCACACTCGAGTCCGTTTATTGGAACTAACCAGAACTGTTTTATTAATCTTGCTCGTTTGAGGTAACATATTTCATTCATAACGACACGAAGCCCTGATTTCCTTATCTTTTACCAGACACGTCTTCGTACAATCATATAAAAATGATTGATTTGTGAAAATGTGAAATTCAAATGAATACTTGTACATGTTTCGTATTTATTTCATTTTAGAGTATATTAGAAGATTTAAAAGGGTATCATTCTGTTAGTATTAATTCAGCCGCCAATGTTTTGGATGAAATTAATGGTAAAACCGTTTGAAACTAATCATCATGTACTAACGGTGTTTTTTTTTTCTCTCCCGAACATGGAACCTATTAAAGAACCGAACATGGAACCTAAAAAATCGAACAAGGAACCTAAAAACCGACAATGAGACCTAAAAACAACAAAACAATAACAACAACACTAAAGCGTGTGAAACTGCTTTCTTTCTGGATAATTTTCAAGACTTAGATTATTTTGTTAGCAAGTCATATGATGATAAAAAGTATCCCGGAGTCGAACATAGAATAACGGTCCATTTTCAAACTATCTGTTCTCAATTTATATTAATTTTAAGTTGATTTTATTTCGTTGAAATAATGATTAAAAGAAATAACAATTTATGATATTCTTTATAAAGTATTATTGGTGATATCACATTTTTTTGGAAGGTAACTAACCAAATTCTGGGTCTCAAAACAATTTAATTTTCCATTGAAGAACTTAATCACATCGGCATCCTCAATATTTAAGTAGTGTTACCATGAATGGATGGGGGAAAAATCCTTTTAAAAATCATGCAACTTTCCAAGCAAACTATACTTCCTGTTTTTATTACATTATAAGCAGGATCATTTAAGTTATTCATTTATCTACCCATGTTAAAATTAAAGTAAAAAAATATGTGACATAATGTTTTTTATTCTATTTTTTTTTGACAGGGGAACATTATTTTTAAACTATCTATGTCCATGTTTAATAGGAAAATTCGTACAAACAGATGTCAACTTATACCATTATATAGGAGAATATATTGAATTAATCTTTAAGAAATATCATTAAACATGTTATTCTCTGGGATCGAGCATTGTCCATACCTTTATGACGAACACTGAAGCAAAGAAATAATTCTTTGTTATGCTATATTTTATTTGTGTTTACAGATCATTCATTCATTCATTCATTCATTCATTCATTCATTTCATTTCATTTCATTTCATTTCATTTCATTTCATTTCATTTCATTTCGTTTCGTTTCATTTCATTTCATTTCATTTCATTTCATTTATTTATTTATTTATTAATTTATTTATTTATTTATTTATTTATTTATTTACTTATTTATTTATTTATTTATTTATTCAATTTATTCTTTTATTTATTTATGTTTTATTTAAAAAAAACAATATGTTACGAAAGCTAGGAATGTATTCCATTCAACTTAAATAAAAAATGATTGAAAATAATATAAAGTTACTAAAAATTTGTCTTTTTCTAATCATTTCTGAATATTTAACATGTCACGCATGGAATTGTGAAAGCAATCCTGTATCTCTAGCCAGTAATAATTGAATAATTTCAATTTGTTTAATGTATCTGTATGTACATTTTATTCATTTTCTTGTAAGGGAAATTTCAACTTTGCATAGTAAACATGGTTCTCACCAATACATGTATATTATAGAAAAAAATCGATTTGATAATTATTTAGATAAAATAAAAAGTCGTTTTTCCATATAAGGTGAGTTAAAGGACATAAAACGATTCTTGAGAAGAAAATGTTTTGCTTCTTACCTTTATTAAACCAAACGGAAGTCCTCTAGGCGGGGATGGTGGTGGGTATAAATCCATGTGCGAGGAAGATTCGGACGTGTAACCGTCTTCATGGCAGTCCATTTCTAGTTGCATAGCCTCGTGCACGCTTTGCACGTGTCGTTTGCGATTTTGTCCGTTAGATATTCAGTCTTAATTACAATTGATCTATTACAAGTTTTATAGATCTTGACTGATGTTCATAGAAGTAAGAAAAATGAAGTTTTAACACTATTTTTATAACACATGTCATAAAATCTTTGCATCAAATATAACTATAGTATCTTCGCACTGTTAAAAGCCTATGCAAAAGTAAATCCAATTATGAATGTTCAAATCAAAGTTATTTAAAATTAACTTTAGATCTGAGAGTCATGTGGTACTAGAAATAATATTTTCTTCAAAAACAATTAAATCACATGCCGTTCTGAAAAACTCCTACTTCGTTGACAACTGTTTGATGAAATATTTTCCGAACTTTCACTATTTCTGAATATCTATTTTCTAGAAAATTTCTCAATAATGAGAGGACTTAATTTTAATGAGATATTTGCATATGCGCGTCGGAACAAGCGCTGATTGGCTAACAATGCGTCAATAACCCGCCCCTGATTGGTTTATCACGGCACGCGCTGACAGTCTATTCAAGCATATTAGAAGCTCTCACAATGCGTCTTATCGACTAAGATCAAGAAATCAAAGATCGTGATGGACTAGATTTTTATTGTTGTTGATTTTTATCTCTTTTCTAGAAATATTGTTACTATCAATACGTACAAATTTCTTGACACGTTAAACATTTGGAATTCGCACTTCTAGCTGAATTATCGAGTAATTAAATCTTATCGCAAATAAAAATCTACAAGGAAACACGCCCGGCATAACGGTATTTGCTTGTTAATTTAAGAGCTTCAAAGAAAATTAAAATATTTGAAAACGGTAAAATTTGTAGTCATTATATAATGCTGATAATTAAGATGTCCGGTCATTATTCTGAGCGGTCACTTTTAAGGTTAAGAAAATTTTATCGCAATTATGCCTTGCTGTGAAATTGATACGTAATAAAAATTCAAAACCGTTTGATACGTTTATCTCCCTTTCATCTTTATTATCAGGTTGCGTGTTTCTATAATTTTCACCTATTTTACTATGAAATTAACATCACTTGTATTTTTTTTCTTATCTAAAGTATTTATATTTTCGACCAGTTCTTTTATTCGGACATATTTTAGGTTAAAAAGCACTATTATTTAGTGGTGTGAATCGATTCAAATAGGTGTTTTGACTACAATATTATCAAAAGTGTTGCCGCGAGTTCGCACTATTTCGGTACATCAGCGTTTAATGTTGATTGCAAGAAAATGATGATGGTGTGGGCCACTTGTTATATTTGTCAATTGATATTTAACACTATTATATGATATTCACAACCATTTAACTTCACGCTGGGCGGCCTGCTGGGGACACCAAATGTTCATATTGATATTTTGTTGTTTGTTTTCAAGTTTCGGTCATTTCAGAAATGAGCCAATTTGACGTCTTGTTCTTAACAGATACTAATATTATTTAAAGGCACAATACGCCTCAGAAATGAATATAAAAAATCGATAGAAATGACAAAAATGTGTTTTTTAGTTTGTTTTTTTTTTTTTTGTTTTTTTTTTTCTTTTTTTTTCTCAATGTTTTAGTAATGCATTTATAACATGTGAGACGCCTCCTTACCTGAAGAAAATAGCTCTATTTTGGATAATAAAATAAGTATTCTTATATTATTTGTATGATTATGGTCCCCTAAAATACGCATATTTGAATTGTACATTTTCCGCCATTTTAACGTTACGTAACTATTATTACGTCAAGTCCGTTGTTTGTTTTAATACGTTGCTTAGTATAAACGATTTATCTATATTTACCTCTTGTTGTTGATTTTTTTCTATCCAACCATTAACTGTACTAAATAACAAAACGCAAAATGAACAAAAGATGATTCAGATATAGCTAATGAGTAACTTTTACGAAACAGTATCAGGGCACCAAAAATAAAAGGCTTTAAAAAAAAGATTATATAGAGGATATTTGTTTAGTTCAGTGTAAGATCGGAATATATTTCACCGAGAGAGCACCAAAAGGTATATTTCACGAGTGGCGCAGCCACGAGTGAAATATGAACTTTTGGTGTTCACAAGGTGAAATATATTTCGATCTTACACTTAACTAAACAAATTTTCTTTTTATTATATGCAAAAAAACGTTTTAAAAAGACATTAAACCTAATATACTGAATGAAAAGTGCGCAAAATAATAATACAACGTGACGTCATTTACGACGTCACGTCATTTAGTTGGTACCCAGTACTGTGCACGCTGGTATTTCATTGAAACAACGTAAGGGGCTTAAATTCAAAACAGTGAAATTATCAAAGTGGTAATTTCACTGTTTGAAACAGTGAAATTACCAGTTTTATATCACTGATATATTTCTATAAACCACCGAAAAGCATGTAATAAAGCTTTTTAGGCTTTGGTTTTGGTGACACTTTTGTGTCTCTCGTTGTTTTCTCGTCTATGGTAAGTATCTTCCCCTTTGCCCCTAGTTTTTATTTATTCTATTTATTCCCGCCCTCCCCGGGTCTCATGTCCCCTTCCCCTGTGCCTTTTGAATTTTTCGGCCCAATATTCAAACATTTAAAAATTTTGTTTTCTTTTAGTTCATTATCAGTTACTTATTACTTATGCTTAGGTAGTGGTTTGCCTGCCCGTGCTCTGCCCTGTGCCCTTTCCTGTTTTTGTTTGGGGTCCTCCTGGGCTCCTTGCCACCGACTCTTGTTACTAGGTCGGATGGGGGCTGCGTTCATTGAACGCCGCCTTTCCTTGATGATCTTGTTTATCATATCTTATTGGGCCTTAAAGTCAGTCAGATGGATTTAGTATCAAATAAGTTATTGAATTATCTATATCCTAAAAATAAAGATAAGATTTCAAGAAAAAATATACTTAAATATAACTGTCATTAATTGATTTTTCTCATTTTAATATAATGCCAAGCGATTTCTAAATCATCAGGGCAAATAAACATATAACCATAGTTACAACTTTAATTGACGTTATTTGTGTACACGTGTTGACGTCATCAATTTTTGTTTAGTTTTGGTTTAAGCACTTCAATAAAATAAAGCTCTTTTTATAACCTAGCAGATACATCATTATTATAGAATATATAAAAATGGAAATACAGAAAATTATATAGGAGTACTATTTCAATAAACATCAAACAGGAATATAAGGAATATATATTCCTTCGCTTCAAGATATTGAAATACATTAATTAGGTTTAGTGCTCGCCAATTTTTTTAAGCCAATCACCGACGAGGATTTTTCAAATTTTCAGGTTACAAATCTTAAAAGAACAGATTTTATATAAACTGGACGTTTTATATTATAAAACGCAAGTGGGCGGAGCACTAAGCCGGTTAGAGTGCATATTGGATGTTCTTCGTAAATAAGAAAGCTACAGTCGCTTCGCAAGCTCCGCTCCTTTTTAGCATTCTTATTTACGAAGAACACCCAATATGCACTCTAACCTATACTTAAGTCGCGTTACACTGTATAACTTAGTGAACTATCAAATTTTGGTTAACGTTTTATACATTTAAAGATATAGCCTATAGTTGAGTGCACAGTTGATAGGGATTTTCACGACGTCAATGTTACGTCACAATTATAATTAGCGTCATTTGACGTCATTTTTGTAATGGCTGACTACTTTCAGGCAAATACTATAGAATTCGACATAGAGATGAAACGAAAATTTGTTTGTTTTGAGAAATTGTGTAACACATTTCACTAAGAAGTGAGAATTTGTAATACCCGGTGTTTTCACTGGCGCTAATTTTCATGAAATTTATTAAAATGTTCTTAAAAGTAAGATATTGTTAAGTGAACAAAGATATTAGTTTACACTTTGCAAACGGCGCTTACAATCCACGTAAAATACAACAACAAAAATATGCCAAAATATGCAAATAATAGCTCTTACTGCATAAGTGTTAGTAACACAGTAGACATAGGGTAATAAATACTACAAAATCAGTCATAAATCGCACATAACATGTAAATTATTAGTTGAATCTTGAATCTTTTTACTTTCCCTTAAATCTTCGTACAAGTTTTTCTTATAATCTTAGTACATTTCCCCCAAGTTTGATTTTCTTGAAACATTTTGGCCTATCTTAAGCATGCAGCTTTAAAACAAAATTAGTGTCATCTAGACTTCTTCACTGTCTGGTTCGTGGAACGGCGCGGATTTTCCGAGTTACGGTGCTTCCATCCAAGATGGAGAATCGATAAACAGCAAGAAGGTACGTGTCATTTTATCTATATATATAGACAAATTCGTTCTATAGTAAAAGAAGAAAAGTTGCATATAACGTAAAACTAAATTCACGATATCAACAATATGTTCACCATGTATGTTGCATGTGATATATAAAAATGGATTACTAAAAACTTTCGTGATTAAAATTAATGCACCTGAAATTCGAACCGAGAGAAGTGGTAAATTTTGAGCCATCTCCGAACAAAATGCTCTTACATTTTGTATATTGAAGTGATACAAAACTTACAAATTAGGCTTTTGAATTTGGCCGCAAGTTTCACTAGAAATTTTATAAGCTATTTAATTCTGCAAGTTTTTCATTCCTATCTCTGATAGGACATCTGACTGAGCAAAAGCACCACTACATATAGCAGATTCATTCTTTAAGTTACAGCAACCCCAGAACAAAACACAACTTTTGAGCTGCACAAAGTACACGAATATGAAAGTTAAAATTACGGACAAATCGTTTGACCGAAAATTACTATATTCAACGAAGGATCAGGACAAATTACCCAATTCAGATCCACATGAATAGGGCACAGCATCCTTCTACGCCGGCTAATTTGAACTACTTCCTCGTGATCGCTGTAAAATTAACCGGTTTTTGCAGACCTCTTCTCATACAGTGCCATATTATTAAACAAATCGTTTTCCTGCGAAAATGACTTGGCTGCACTACGCCAAGAGATATAATTGCCCGGAATTTTTGCACCGGAAATAAGAGTGTAGAAGAAGCAGACGAATATTAGGAGATTTGAATGCAATTTTAAAATCCGTTATCAAAGATCGTTGAATAGAAAGACACAATAACGCACGTTTTCATAAATGAACGCTAACTAGATGATTGAATTTTATAGATAACTTAAATTTGATGACGTCATCGTTGGAAGCTAGGCAATGTCCATAAAATCACTAGCGGACAACGTTGTTTCGCGTGCATCTTTATACAGGATACTTAACAAAACATTCCTTACAAAAAGACTTCTGATTGTCACACAGCTCTAGCTATGTTTTATACATATTTGATAGCAATGCAATTGTGACGTAATCAAATATTGTTCACTGCTAATTGTTGACGTCATTTAACCGTCATTTTGACGACGTCGTTGTCGCTAAGTGAAAATGACGTCATTTCAAGTCAAATGGGGTAAAGAAACAAGACAATGATTAATAACATATAAAATGTAAGTAACAAACCTCTCCCCCAAATGGATTTTGGTACAATAATATGATCGGCAACAAAGCCGCACGATGGGCAGCTGTAAAAGAATTGGTAAATCGTGGGATAATAGCTTCTAACAAAGGCACCGAGAATAGAGAAGAATTTGAAAACATTGTTAAAGATGTTAGAAAGGTTGCTTATTTATACGGCGATGGCTTTCTTGATGGCTTACCACAGATAGCGAGACAAGAGACGCGGGAACTTTTCGGGCTTGATAAATATCCAGTTAGTGACGAAAATCTGGCCGCAAAAAAATCGTTGCTGAAGTTGGAGAGAGGCATTTATCGGAAGATGGCGATATCATTCGTTTACGATGCGAATGCGAACTCGAAAAAAAGGTAAAGTGTAAAATTTCTTGAGATAAAAATTTCCTGCCCATATGTATTGAAATATTAATGACTATTCTAATAGAATGAAAAATATCAGCTTCGTTCCCAAATTTGAGTGATTTTTTTATCGCCGTATAATATGACATATGATAAGTCGTAAAACTTGTGTTAGTAAAATTAAAAATAGACCTGGAGAGACCGGGATGTTCCGATAGGAGTACATCCCTCTATAAATAGATTTTCGGAATGTTTAGGTCATCAACTCATCATTCTATTTATAGCTTTCGGATACATGTACAACAATAACGTACTATGAACTACAAAATGATGAATAAAAAACCCCGAAGAGCGTGATTTATTGACGGAAAAGGTTATTTCATTTGAAAATGTTTGCATTGCGAAATTCTCCAGTTCGCTATTCATTGTACATATCGCGACATTCACTTTTAATTAATTATCAAGCAGCCTCATACCGATCGGTATGATCGGCTTTTATTATGACCGACTAAAAGACTCGAGAAGTTGCTGTCGCCCTTTCACAAAATCTGATTTCATTCCATAAAGGGGCGCCGCGCTTCGGCGCGGTCGCCAATAACGACAAACGCATGGATTGAAAATAAAGTATTGCCATTTAAAATAAGAAGTATCTTTAAAAAGATACTCGGTCGTAGTCAAACTTGTTAAATTGCATAGGATAAGCTACTACTAACAATGCTAACCGCAAAAAGAACATGTTATTGGCCCTAAAAAGTTTTATTTCAGTTCATTTTTACCCGCAATGTTTTTCATTTTAGATTTAAACAATATTATTAACATTATTTGATTTTAATCAAAATGGAATTTGATTTGAATAGGAATATATAATAAAACAATGATTTAGTAGATACTGTACACTAATTCCACGGAGAATTTTGCAACTGTTAATTAGTCGAAAGTTCGTTTCAATCGTCTTATGCCCGGTTCGAGAAGAAAATATAATGTCTAGAACATCTTAGAAGAGAAACTCAATTGATCACCAAAGTTTCAAAAAGGCGATCTGTCATATTTAATTTCATATACTTATTGAAAAGCTGTTAGAATCGTCTGGAAAATATCATTATTGTGTTTTTGTATTTATTCTGACATATCTTTTCCCAACACTTCTTGCCATCGCGCAATCGAACGGACCTCTACCTATAACGGAAGCTCTTCTAAAGTATCAATCGAACAGGCTATTAGTGTTAAAATGACCAATGAAAATTCTGCCTATATTCATTTTTTAATGTTAATTTTAGCGGAAGTCAAGGTGAAAACAGACTGCCGTCGGCCGAAAAAAATCATCGACACAACTCTTTTCTCCGTTATTAAACAAGGTTGAAAGGTTTTCCAACGGTTTACATTTGATAGTATGGATTTTGCTCAACATGTGCGTGTATAAAAAGACCAAGTCCATTCGTAGTTGTTGTTTATTTTTTTGAGATAAAAAAAATGTTTACATTATCACATATGAGGGTGGTAGAGAAGTTGTAAAGCAACTGGCGGGTTATTGAAGAAATTTTATTTGCATATTTTATGTTTACTTACATTTTTGTAAACGATTTTTTAAAAAAAATATATCAACAACAACGTGATCCAAAAGTATATAAACATAAAATTGAAATTTCTTATATATATCTTCTATGACATTTTAATTTTTTTCTGTGCTATTCTTAGCCAAATTTAAGTTTCAACGGTTACTTTAAACAATTAAAATACTTATTCTGGATTAAATGTAGTGATCAAAATGATTAATCCGGACAAAAATATTTTCAGGCCCATTTTGTAAAAAATAACCTCAATGGAGTCCGGTATTTAAGGTGATAAAAGATATTTTCGCGTCTTATTGTTGATATTGACGGCGGCGACAACAATAAGATATGTAATGATAATAATTATCATCATCATAACTAAGACGATTTTTCTATCGTTATTATCTTTGTTGTTGTTGTTGTTGTTGTTGCTGTTGTTGTTGTTGTTTAAGGTGGATTGCAAGTTCCGCTTGCAATGTGTGAATTACTTTCTTTGTTCACTTCACAATATTTCACTGTAAAACACATTTTCAATTATTACATGAAAATTAGCATGAATGTTGAGGCGTGCTGCTTTTAGATGGAAAATTGCATTTTAAAACATTGTATAGTCTTCTTTTGAAAATAAACTCACCTGACTTCATATGCAAATTTTAAGATACAAACATGCATCATCTATTTATTAACTTAGACATGATATAGGCACATCATTAAGCTATTTTAACTCTTCAAAAGAAACCGCTGAATTTTAACCTTTTATTATCTAGATTGGTTTTCGTTAAATATGATATTCGTGGACTGTATTGTCAATCATTGCAATGAATGCGGGTGTATTTACATAACTGTCTCACCCTAATCAATAAAATGAAAAACGGAAGGAAATTTTTATTTTTTTCGAAAGGGGAAAAAAATTTGCTTTTCGCTAAAAGGTGGGCTAACACTTGCTTTTTTTAATTTTGTCCCAAAAAGTAAAGTAAAGCTATTAAAAAAACACCAGTTTTGCTGGGCCGGGTTATGATATTATTAACGGAAGCTGACTTGTCACGGGATAACGGGATTTAGACTTTAATTCCGGGGACCGTCTTGCATGAATAATTAACGACGAGTTAGTGAAATATCGATCTGATATATACTTTTGGACTCTGGAAATGGCTAGATTGAATACAATATGGATTTGATATGCATTTATAATAAAAAACGAGGTTAGATGGAGTACAATATAGATTTATAGATTTGATATGGAATTTTTGGTCACGGAACATGCAAACCAGACTTGATTGATAAGATTGGATCCAATATTAATCTCATGGCAAACAACGGAAAATAATTAATTACATTATATATAAGGTGTGATATAATGATAATACCATATAAGGTAGATCTTATCAGGTTTGATGGAATCCTTAAAATTTTCAGTTACACTACGTTTGAAACCTATGAGGCGGATAGAAAACGACCCCCTCTCCCACCCGATCGCCCAACTTTCCACTCTCTATTAGCATATTTTCAGTGTTAAAAAAAAAACGTTTATTGTATTGTCGTTGGTCCAATATGAACTTATATAGAAATGATAGCTGGGTAAGCGCTTAAAGATTCGTCACATATTTATTATCTGATACCATTCAATTATCCGATGAACTACCTTTAACAAGTTTCTGTAAGTGTTTTATGGTTTAATACGTAATACAAAATGATTATTATTTTCTTTAAACACCTAAGTGCAATTTGTAAACACATAATTTAAACTGAAATGAGATATATTGACTACGTTAAAGCCTTCCTTAAGGTGCGATAAAAAGTTTAATGTATAGTTTCTAGTGGATGAGGGAAATTTTTAACTGTGTGTGCTTAAATACCAACGGGTAAACAATATAATCAGCGAAACATAAATAATTCATTTATGATTTCTTTAAACACTGGAGTGCGGCGTTCGGAATTTACTCCGCTTTTGTTGCCCAAAACGCGCATGTATATATTTGACAGTTTGTACTATATTAAATGAAACAGTGAAGGAATGTATTAAAAATTGTAGAAAATTTATTCATTGGACTTTAAAATAATGAAATGTAGCGGATAAAGAAAGTTATGGAGAAAGAAAAGAGATTAAAGTCACATACGGTACCGGATATGGAAAATACTAAATTAAAACGGAGGCCGAAAACAGGCGTTATTGTTGTTTCGGTGCAATATGAACCAACTATTGAAAGGTTTGTTGTTGCTTTAGTGTTGTTGCTTTAGAGTTTTTTTTATACTGTTGGTATTTTATTGTTATTTCATTTTATTTTATCACATGTATATATGTAGACTTCGCCAGCATCCTTCCATTTCTACAAATTTTGTTATCTTCTGTTTACCGTACAGATAGATACTGTTTTAAAATGCACCGATCACTTTATAAATATCGGCTAGATATCGGCCTCATATCGGATAAATATCGGACTACAGACAAGGACTCGATTACTCTTTACTAAATGTGTTTGGTTGACTATTTAAAAAATATGAAACTGGTAAAGTATCGTGTTTGTCGGATCATAACTACATTTGTATGTTACCATGATATTTGAATATGTGCTTGATTAAAAAATATATATCAAAGAAAGGAAAACAAAAAAGTAATAGTAGATAAAGGAATGAATGAATGTGAGCTGTTATTTGTTTGGTCGGATAGGTGACGTGTGGGTGTACAGGTGTGGATGGTGTAAGCGCCGTAGGGACCCAGATAAAGGTTATGTAATGCTAGCACAGTAGCTTTACGATTGTTACTTAAGACAATTCCTTTTTTTTGTTAAGTTATAGCCTTGATGACAGGGGTAGGGGTGTAGGGGTACGGTTGTCAAGATTTGGTAGAGGATGTAAAGTAGGACAATCTAATGTTGGGGTTCTTTTTATCACCATAGAACTTATTTTTTGATGTCATATAAAATAAAATTAAAAAGGCATGTTAGTGTGACGTACCGTTCTGATACAGGGAATAAGTAAGTATATTTATATAAAGTATATTAAGTAAGTATTCAAAATATTGAAGCTACTGGGCTGTTTGTATAAAAAATCCGTTAGTAATTAAATCATAGTCCCGAAACTTGAAGAGCATTTATAGACCTGCTTATTGAATGTTTACTTTATTTTTCATATTATATTGATTCTAAATGTTCAAATAGACAAAATCTATTATTTACCTAGCACTTAGTGAAAGTTTTAAGGCGATTTTTATGGTATGTTTTACGGGAGAGTTTGATTTATTTCAAATTAAGTACCGCTGTCGCCGTGGCTTAAATGTTCGTGATTTTAATGGTTTTAAAAGAAAGTCATTTACGTACAATAGAACCCGGTGAGAAATTTATCAAACTTTTAATTACAGATTTTGACAGCCTAAAACGGTTTTACAGGCTTAGGAAGGCTATTGATATTTCCTAAAAAAGATATTTAGACTTTATCAACTTTTCTTGTTTATACAAAGTGCATACATATATCAATACATTTTACTCTTTTTTCAATATTAAACATCGCAAGGGGGCGATTTTATAAACATCTTGCCTTTTTTTGCAAATCCCCGAAATGGGCGAACAATGGATTATAAATCAATGTTTAAAACAAATAAACATTGAACAAAATCGACTTGCATACATATTTAGTATCATTTATTACTGAATTCAAAAATTTATAGGTCACCTTTTAGTTGTTAATAGCGTTTAAGAACATGAATGGTTTCTCTCGGCCATCATCTGATTCAGGAATGTAATAAAATCATAATTTTTCATCATTATTACATGTTATGTTTACTGTTTAATGTGGTAGATGGAAAGACAACAATTTAATCTTATACCCTTTTTAATAAATTCTTTGATAAAACTATTTAATTGATTGATTATATAATGATATTTATTTTGACTATATACAAATTTTCAAATATATAGAGGATATTCAAGTTTTTTCTATAAATACATGATTTATTTTCATGAGTGGTATGAAAATAAATATTTCATGAGTGGCGGTAGCCACGAGTGAAATATGGTAATTTTCATGCCACAAGATGAAAATAAATCATGTATTTATAGAAAAAACTTGAATTTTCTGTTTATTATATACATTTTTCTCTTTCTGGACATTAAAATTTGCAAGACTTTCCCTTAAATTTTGAGTACTGGCAGAATTTAAAACAAAGTAGTCCAGCAAGACATCAGTGAAAATACGGAAAATATGTTTCACTGCAGTGAAAAATAAATTTTTACAGTGAAAATACGGAAAATGGAAATACGCATTTTATTTCATCAATATTTCTCAATATTTCATTTTAAAAGTATATAATAAAAATATTTACATGTGTGTACAAAAATATTAAAATGTGTATATTTTTAAATATCTATTATTTTCATTCTGTAACTACTACTACTACTACTACTACCACCACCACCACCACCACCACCACCACCACTACAACTATTGCTGTTGTTGATAATTATTATTGTTATTATTTGAATTATTATTATTTTTATCATCATCATCATCATCATCATCATCGTCGTCGTCGTCGTCGTCGTCGTCATCATCGTCATCGTCATCATCGTCATCGTGATCATCGTCGTCGTCATCATCATCATCATCGTCATCGTCATCGTCATCGTCATCGTCATCGTCATCATCATCATCTTCACCATCACCATCATCATCATCATCATCATCATCATCATCATCATCATCATCATCATCATTATTATTATTATTATTATAATTATTTATTATTGTTATTATTATAATTTTTGTTATTATTATTATTATTATTATTATTTTTATTATTATTATTATTATTATTATTATTATTATTATTATTATTATTATTATTATATTATTATTATTATTATTATTATCATCATCATTATTATTATTCAGATTCAAAATCTTTTACATATTTCATTTTCAAAAAAATTGGCATTTGTATATAATTTATGTCTTTTATTGGAAGGGAGACAACCGTTGTCATATTGTAGTAATAATAGATGTACTAGTTTTCTCCCTTTACTGCTATTATCATCGGTCATTTTCTATCATACGTAAATACGTTCTCGAATAAAAATTTTCAATGTATTAATTTGAATCTTGGCCATTCATTGAAATGACATTATTTAAAAATTCCTTGCATCAAGACTAGTGATATCCTACATTCAAGTAAATCAAACTGACATGACTTGTATCAAATGTGGTCACAGAAAACCTGTTGTCGTCATCATTATCTTTGTTACCTTCATCATCGCCAAATCATCATTGTTATCATCATCATCATCATAGTCGTCGTCGTTTTCTTTGACGTCATCATCATCACAATCATCATCTTCATCATCATCGCAATTATCATTAAATAAGACATGGTCGTCGTTCTCATCATCATTTACTTCCTAATATTTTTTTAAAAACATTCTATCATTCATTTTAACGTTCTAAGGGACATTACGACATAACTTCTCAACACATATTTACCTACTAAGCGCATTTACTTCCCCTGACGAAATACTGCGTATTCGACAATTTGAATGCCTGCCATTCAGATTTAAAGATTAACGTGCCGATTAATTGAAGTTATAGCGCTGATTGAATACTTAAAACAATGTCGTAATTATTAAATCAAAGGACTTAACGTCTAGTCCGACAATACGTGCATTTAAAAATCCCTATATTCTGATTACTATCAAGAAATATGGGATTTTATTTGACAGTTGAAATAATAAATCATAAATGTTTAAGACCAGTTTTAAATTGCAGTATTGAAGATTCTTTTGAGAAAGTATGGAAATAAGGTGTATATTCTTTGGTAAACGCTATAATGGTGTGTGTTTTATATAAAATGGAATTAATGAAAGGTGGCGGCATAATTTTGTAACATTACGGAAAGGTTTAAGCATGTAGAAATAACGTTTCGTTTAATGATTATTTAAGACAGATTAATAGAAAAATGAAACGGAAGTGCTAGTATTAAAGCTAGTTTATGGCTATTTAAGTGTTTGAACTATTCTGTATTCATCCGTAAATGCCTACAGTGTAATATTGCTTTAAAACTTTGAACGTCTATCTCCTACACAATGAAACCTCCGGCAAAATCGTATTTTGAGAGCATGGATGTGTATGAGGATCCAAATAAAGTGAAATATGTTCGTCTGTAAGTATAGTACCTTTTTATTTATACCTTACTTGGGGTTAGGATGGGTATTAACTTACTTTGAAAGGAAAACATAAAATAAACTCTAAGTATAAATCTGCTCCAAAAAAGATTGAGCTTAACTAAAATCAACTTTTTTTTCTATCAGTGTATCATACATGATACTAACATGAGGTAACAAACTCATTTTTCGAAAGCACTGTATTATTACCACAATCTTTAATCAAAGCATCCTAGAGGTGTGTCGTAAAGCGTCATTGAAATGTACCTTGCAACGTCCTAGAGATGTGCTGTGTAACGTCCTAGAGATGTACCGTGCAACGTCCTAGAGATGTGCCGTGCAACGTCCTTACAACGTCCTAGAGATGTACCTTGCAACGTCCTAGATATGTACCGTGCAACGTCCTAGAGATGTACCTTGCACCTGTCCTAGAGATGTACCTTGGAGCGTCCTAGAGATGTACCTTGCAGCGTCCTAGAGATGTACCTTGCACCGTCCTAGAGATGTACCTTGCACCGTCCTAGAGATGTCCCTTGCAACGTCCTAGAGATGTCCCTTGCAACGTCCTAGAGATTTTGGATTTGTATAAAGTACATCATCACTACAATATAAATACACCATCTCTTTTCGGCTGTATTTCCCCCAAAATTTCGTATCCAAATGTTTTCTCCTGCTTGAAAAACAAGTCTCATTAAAACCTCAAATTTTCATCTAAGGGAGCTTACTTTTATATCATTATTAGAAAAATGTGACTGGTTTACCTCCCTTCATTTTGTCGGCTCATACTAAATCATTCACTTGTATATCCCGTGAGAAAAATTCTTTAACTCTTTCACTTGAGAGTTCTTTTATATATTTACGTGTTTTGAAAACCACATTCTCATGCATGCTGCAGTTAAGTGAATTAAAATGAATTGAAATAAATTTTTCAACTTGTTAACATAATCGTATTACGCGAAAGCGGCTTTTTGAATATTAATTCTTTTGATTGGCATTGCATTTAAATAACCCCTGACCTCGACGACACAGAAGATATACTTTGAATAGTTATAATTATA